GAACAGTGCTGGTTGAAAGCATTAAAGGTGAACTAAAATGCTGCTAAAATAGCCGCATGGGCAGAGACCTCCCATTACTGATTGCAAATGGCCTGGTCCTGTGGATGGGCGGTGTGGCTGTTACACCATCCTAGGGCTTGTAGGGCAATGCCCTGACTGTGTAGCCTTAATTGCAAAGCGACTGTACTTAGAACAGTAAACCGAAAGCTTTATAAGCTCTATATGCCAGAGTTGGGTGGGGGGAGGACTTTCTATCTTAAACATATTGTGGTGTTGGCAGCTACAGAAAAAAAGAAACCTTGACCATGATTCGTGCGGGTGAGCGGAAATGGTTCTTGACTCATCAGGAGCTGTGTTTGTGACGTTTCCCAGGCCACCTGTTACTGGCTGAGACTCTCAGCGCCATTCTGATGTGTGCCTGAAAACCACTGCAGTTGCCCTGAAAAGAGGAAGAGCCTGTTAAACCTGGAGTCGTCAGTGAGTGCCCAGAGTTGGGGCAAGAGCTGTTTGTCTTGGAAGACTGGCACTCTCACAGGGCCATGCTGATGTCCGGGATGCTGTTTAGCTCCCACAGCTGCTTCCTGTAGCTTTCTAACTGCTTGCAAGCATCCTTCCTGAGGACCAGTTTGGAGCGTCTCGCTGCCTACCAAAGTGAGAGACTGTCCTGTCATCAGTATCAGGCTCCAAAGTCCATATGTGTCTGATTTAGGGAAATTAAAAGTGAGGTCCAGCAGCTCCTCCTGAACTCCAGAACTGCAACAGGCCCTGAACTCAGTCCCATGGAGTCCAGTTATTGGGTGTTTCATCTGAATCCCTTTGAAGGATTAGTTATAGGTCTACAGGATTCATTATGAGCATGTGTGCAGCTATCCCTGTTGTATGTTAGAGTTGTCTATTTTGCTAGAACTTTTATTGAGCGTGTGATTCAGAGGCAAAGGCAGCTGGCTGTTTCAAAAATATATGAACAAAGTGGAGTCCACTTCACAGTGAATTGCGGCAGCCTGCCTGAAGCACTGAAAGATTTGAATGAAGAGCATAACCTACAGTTTGTATGGGAGAGGCAGCAAGGAAAAACTGGCTTCTCTTCCCTGCGCTGCCACTGACTGACAGCTGCTTTAAACAGATCCCGTCTCTGTTCCTCCTTGATTGCAAGTAGGAATTACCCCTTCCATGGCCATGGAGGGCCTGTATGGTGCTTCGGTGCCTGTCGAGGTGGGGGAAATTCCCACCCAACGTGACTCGCTCCCCCCTCTTCCTTTTGTTGCCCGCACTGGGTCTTTGTTCCAAGGCATTGCTCTTTCAAAGCAGGAATGCTGCTTCCCAAAAGAGAAGAGCTTTCCAGTGCCGTGGCAGAGTGAGTAGGCGCGTTATGTTGGATACTCCGTGGAATCTGCTCGTCCTGTAAACATTAGAGAAAGTAAGTGTCAGTCTGTCATGTCCGCTCTTGTAACAAAAGCTGGACTGTGTATTTCTAGCAGCATCTGGTCAAAATGAAAACGATATTCCAAGAGGTGCGTTTTGGAGTATGCCCCAAATATCCCTTTTTCCGCTAGTCAGCCTGGAAAAGACATTGTCCTGGTGTTTGCCTGTGAAACGCTGAGTAATGCTGTCTCTTCTCCGGTAGATGGAGGAGTAGTTTCCCAGCTGCTCTCACCAGTGTGTAACCTTTCACTCTCTTGGATGCATCATTTCAGTGTTTAAAAAAAATATTCTTCGCTAGCCTGGCTGCAAAGGCAGCTCTAGTGAGGTTTGGAGGAATGCTGATTATTTCTACAGACCCACTCTGACACCCGCCTACTCCACAAAGCATTTGGTTGCAGTATTTTCCTGAATCTCTGACCCTGTCCTCGTTGTCCTGTGTTCATCTCCTTTTACCAGAGAAGGGCACTCCCCCACAACTGCTGGTGGAAATTAACTGGCTTTGGATTAATATAGCCGTGTGGTGGCTGTTGGCAGGAGAAATGTGCAGCTCCTGCCACAGAGGCAACATAAAGATGCTCTTTTTCCCTCCCCAGCAAAGTTCTCTTCCTCTGCTTGTCTCTGATTCCAGGGGAGTGCTTCCAAGAAGAAAGAGTTTGTGATCAGTCTTCAATACACAGATACGTGGGATAACTGCATCCTGTCTTATGCCATATGGTAAATTTTTTTTAAAGTTTTTCTGCAGGCTAATAAGCAATGATATGCCTAGAATTACTTCAGATGTACAGCAAGTCAATTTAAAACTCTCCAACTCCTAATTTGCAGTCTTTAGAAAACCGAAAACAATAGCATCCTAGTGCTTTTAGGAATCTATTATCCTGAATTACTGGGTAGCCTTAGGCACATCAAAGTGTTCAAGTGCCTGATACCCTGCAAATCTTTTAACTTTCAGGGGCAGTGACTTCTTGGAAAATGTCTCTCCTCTGGATTAAGGTGACCCAAGCATCTTTACTGTTAATATTAATTTCAGCCTTTACAGCTCTGTTACAATGGTGCTTTTCTCAAAAGAAGAAAATTCCTCCTACTCAAGATCATGCTCTGATAATAAATGTTAAATATTCTATTTACTCTTTAAAGAAACAGCACTGATTTTTTTTAAATGTCAATTCCTTGCCTGTGCTGCAAGTAATAACACAGATCAACTGAAGAACATTTTAAAAGTCAGAATGCCTCCTCATCATTTTGGCTGTTTTGCTTCACTCGGTGGGGGAGACTAGTCGTTTCGCTCTCTGGGTCTGTGCAGTAACCGTTGTGCAGCAAAGCTAAATGTTTCATGGAAGAGCTCCATGCTGAAAATTATTCATGGGCTTCCTTTTCTCCTGTTTCCCCCCTTTTTTTTCCTGTTCCTCTTTTTTCCTTGAAGAAACCTTGCTAAAGATTTCCTAGCCTAACCTTTTTCCTTCTTGTCGTTTAAAGATGCCAGGGAAGATGCATAAAAAAGCTGGGATATAAAGAAAGCAGGTTACCTTTCAGTGCACAAAAAACACCTGCAATTCCATTGAGGGGGCCAAAGTAATAACAAGAGTTATTAAGATTAAAAAACCCCCAAAAACCCAAACCCTATGCAGATGCCTTGTTGCTTATTAGTGCTCAGGTGTTTATTTCTGGTAGTCAGTCTTGGTGCTGTAGTGCTGCTGGAAGGGGCTAAGTCGACAGCTCCAGAAAAGGACATCCTTTTCGCATAGAATAAGGTATGGCTTAGGGTAGTCAAGTATGCACGTTGTTCAGTGTCCACGTCCTATTCAGTCCTTGCCCTCTGTACTGTGATTGCCAAGATCAGCGATGGTTTTGTGACATGGACATTGACTCAGCTGAACAGATGGTAGCACAGTTAAGTCCCAGATCTAGGTTGATCATATCATTTGATCTAGCACTTCATATTTATTGCCAACTGCTGGACCTATCAAAGGAAGCATCAGCTTCAAATTATTATTATTATTATTATTATTATTATCATTATTATTATTATTATTTATTTATTTTTTTTTTTGCCCAAGTTGTTCCAAGTTTTACACCTGTGCCCTGCCAATATTTTGTGGTTTTCCAGTTGCATCTTCCTACTTTAAAAACGAAGTTTCTCTCCTGCCTTGCTGGAAAACCCATGTTTCCCAAGGGAATCTGTGAAACTGAATACATGTGACGGCTATCCAGGGCCCAAAGTAAACCAAGATTTCCCCCTCCTTCCCCTTTTAATAGCCATCTTGAGCCTTATTTCTAACAATAGGAGGCTTGGGGCAGGGAGGAAGGGTTGTAAATTAAATTATTGTCCCTTTTTAACATGTTTCAGAGAACTCTTAACAACACTGTTGCAAACTGCCAAGTGATTTTTTCCCCCCCACTTGTGTTGCAGATAATTAAGGCATGTTTCCTTTACATGTTGGTACTATGCACCTGAGTTCTCAGACATAAGCAAGCACTACCACGAATACACTAATGAATAAACAGAAAAGAAAAAGGAAATGTCTGTTTGTATATATTTGACATAATAGGGAAAAACACCCTTGCCACGAGAGAGGAAGGGAATTTATGTGCAAAAAAAAAGCCTGCAGAAAAAGAAAGGTGAAAAGGCTGCATCTAGTTTCTTGAGATGATATGGAAGCACCACAGCGGACTTGCATTGCTGGAAAGTTTGACAACAAGAGGCCAGTTGTTTGGGGATTTAAAAGAAAAGGATTTGATTGACCCTGCACTCAAGAAGAGAAATTATGTCCAATTATACAACTGAAAAATCTGATCAGGAAGGCATGAAAATATCTCTTGTCAGCCTGTGGCTAAAAGGCCAAGCAGTGCCCCCAATAATACTCCTGCAAAAGGAATGTAATCAATTGTTTGGCTCCTTTTTCCCTGAGCTGAGCTGGGCTACTTGGGGAGAGAAGAAACGGCTCAGGTTTGCCACTGAAGTCAGCAGATCTGACTGAGCAAACAGAGGGGGTAGGTCTGAAGTAAGATGCGGGACTAAGGCAATGTGATGTATTTTTAAAGGCTTGTCAAGGGCACCCTGAAAACTGTAAGGGTACTCTCATTAGGGCTTGCAAACAACCCTATACACTACTACTTGTCTGACCGTAACCACACTTCAACATGTTTTCAGAGTCTCATACCGTAAAGACCTCACTGATGGATTTTGAGTGCTTAATGTAGTCAGCCTGGCCTTTCCTCAGCGCTGCAGTGTTGGCAAGCTGTAGCCTTTCAGGTTTACTGAGGACATCACTGCTGCTCTCCGTATGAAAATACCCAAATTTAAATTAAAGCTGGTGTTGGGTTAGCTCACGTGCATCCTACCCAAACTATAATATTGTGAATGAGTGGAACAGCAGGGGTTGGCAGGGAGGACTCCCTAAGCAAAAATTATCCATTGCTGCTTGCATCACAGGTCTCTTGCCCCTGAGATGTTTGGTGGCAGCTGCTGTCAGACAGGAGGCTGGAGGAGATGGGTCCCTGGGCTCAGCCACTGTCGTGGGGGCTGATGCTGTTGTTTTAGAAACACCACTGTGTTAAATTAACACCCACTCTTCGCATTCTTCCATGATTAGTTCATTAGAACCAGTTTTGGGTGAGCCCATTAGAAGAAAAACACGAATTAAATTGCACCTGTACTTACAATGGGGGAGTAAAAACCTGTTCTGTCCTGTGACTTGAAGTGCTATGCCTTGTGAGAGTGGTAGCTTGCTGCCATAGGGACCTTGTAGGGTAGAGAATTAGGGTGATCTGAAGTTGGTGGTAGTGCTATGAAGGGTTGGGGATACCTGTGTCACTGCTGCATGCTGTAGATCCAACTGCAGCAATCTGGGGGAGTAATGTGCTGACAGGCAGCATCGCGTTCCTCCTTGCTCATGAGACTGCCTGTGCCAGCTGCAGTGCTGCAGAGGAAGGGCATGTGAAACACAGGCAGATTTTAGCTTTCACTGGAGGTCTGAGAGCAGTGTTTCAGCAGTGGCCAGTTTCAGATGCTTTGGTTGCAGCTTGATATGATGAGAGGCTGAGCTCCAGATGTGCTGGAGACGAGAACGCAAAGGAAGAGTGGCGAGCAAAAGAGAAATGTTCTAAAGATGACAGGATTGAATTGATGGGAAGAAATGGGGAAAAGGCCACAGACAATCTGAAAAGAGACAGATGTGGAAAGAAATGGAATGAGAGTCTAAGAATGGTGGAAAAAATGTAAAGGGGACAGAATATGACGACAGGGCTGAAGAACAGGAGATGCTTTTGAAATCGTGCATGGTCTTGCTCTTGTCCTATATTTGCACTTGCTTAGCAGGCAGCTCCTATTCTGAAGAGGACTAGTATTTGGGGTTGGGGGGCATAGCCTGTTCCTTCCTTGAATGGTTGTCTCTGGTAAGAGCACTTTAACAAATCAAAGGGGCTACACATGTGCTCCAGGGCTTCTAGAGTGTCTTCACTGGCTGGTCCTGGTAGCCCACGTGGTTTTTTTCCATATCTTTCTGGTGGGTCATTCTAATCACAGTGAACCCTGCCCTCCTTTGCTTGGTATCCTCCTTTTTGTCATAGTGTGGACCCCATTCAGCTGCTGTTCTGTCATGTATCATGGTGTTATACTCTTCTAAAAGAGTACTGGAGATCAGACAGCAAATTCGCATCAATTTTGTTGGTCTTCAGCAGTGATATGGGGAGCACAGAGAGAAGCAAATGCCTGCATGCACCAGCACACTAGAGAGCAACTCCAGGCTCTCCCTAAACGAGAATCACATGGATGCATCCAGACAAGGAGGCAGCAGAGGGATGGGAAAAGGAAAAATAAGGTACTCAAGCTGAAAGTGAATTCCTAATCAGTGCATCTCTATTTGCAGGCAAGCTGCCTGGGCTTGTATTTCATCCAAGGAAGTGCCGTTTTCTCATCAAACGGTTAGGACTGGCTAGAGCTCCTTCCAAAGCCCCCTAGCCTCAAACGCAAGACCAAGATTGCCTCTCTGGTTCTTGGCTCTTAAGCCTGCCCTTGCACAGATTTAGTTTCTCCAACGAGCTGGAGCTTGGTTGCTGGTCAGAATATCTTGGAAATATCCTGATGCACAGGAAAAGGCTCAGGTGCTGCTTGAAGTGGCCCATAGATAGCAAAGCTGAACTGTATTTAATGGTTGGACTTAATAGTCTCTTAGTCCCCATTTGAACAGGGCCTGTGTGTTTAGATCCAGTGCTGAGCTGGTAACAGGGGGCTGAGGCAGGCTGTCTCTGAATCCAGCTCTTGCTTTGGCACAATCATTAATTTGGCTTGTGCGTTGAGTCTCCAAGCCAAATGGTTCTCCTCTGCTTTCTTTTCGAGCTGAAGCAGGTTTGCCCAGACGGGCTGAACCTTTTCAAAGCACATGAGAGACCTGGATGCCCAATTCCCATTAAGGCAAGTGCAAACTGGGACACCCAGCTTCCTGAGGCAGCGTTGCAGGTCGACGCCTCGGTTAGTCATTGTTCTTGATGTTGTAACCATCCATTGCCTGTTTTTAAAAGAGAGGTGGCTGAACCAGGCCTGCTGTGGCCCAGTAGAAAGTGCCCCAAATACTCATGGGATCCCAGTTTGATGATGGTTTCACTGGCTGGCTGGTTGTGTTGTTTTATTCTCGTGGTTTGTCCAGCCTTAAACAATCAGCTGTAGCATGGGCAGACCAGCACTCACTGTGATTTGGTGGGATGGAGGTAGAGGTCCTTGTACTGTCGGTGGGATGCTGCTGATGAAAAGCTGATGGACTGGCTGTGAGAAGGGAAGGAGCAGCACAAAGGGTCTTGCAAATATAAAATCTAAATGTTAATGGTAGTATGAGTGACTCTGGGACAGGGACCACAGTTCTGCTCTCTTGCCATCCTATGTAGGCCCTGTATGTGGCTTTGCCTTTTCTGCAAATCAAAACTGAAAGCTTCATAGAGCACTTGCCAGGCATTGTCTTTTGGCATGTGAACAAGTGCTGACAAGCAAAGTCACTGAGAGCCTGATCTGGGCTTGATTGGGGGTGGCCAGATTGCAAATGAGATGTTAACCAAATGCTCCTTCATCTGCCTAACCGAATGAATGACAGGAAGGGGATGAACCCCGGTGGCTGACTGTTAACCTGTTCCAGTTCTTAAATACCACTTTCCAGCAGCATGCTGCATTCCCAAGGGTGGCTGGCGTTTTGTCATTCATGATTTCCAAATGGGTCAAGAGCCACAGAGGCCTTGTTTGTACAAGCACCTTTTACCACCTGGGCTGCCTAGTTTGTGTGCAGAACACCCAAGTGCTTGCAAGTTTTTGGGAGCATCTGCAAGCCTCTGGTAGCAGCTGTGAAATGAATTAATATGTTCTTCTAGGGAACCACTTCGTGTCTCCCATGTGCTCCTCTTCTTCTCGCTCGGCCATGTCCCCCTGCAAGGCAGGATTGAGTAGCAGTCCCTGTAGTGTGCTCTGCCAAGCCTTGCTTAGTTTGAAAAGTTCCAAACAATGGGACGCCTGCCCCTTTTGGGGTGCTGTTCCTGAGCCAAAATAGTTTAATCATGAAAGCCCCAGTTGTTATCTTCGTACTGCCTTAAATTTGTTTCCTTCCCTCAACATTTTTACCTTAAGATCCCTGGACCATTGCTGCCCTGTTCCCCATCCCATTAGTCATAGCTTAACCAAACTATTATGTTGAGCATTTTATGTTTTTTTTTTCCAATCATCCATCCCGCTACTCAGTAATTCTTGTTTCTTCCCACCTCTGAATTCCCTTCACTTCGTCAGCTTCTTTCCAATATTTAGGCAGACATAAATGAGTCCATTTTCCCATGTGTGCTGGTGGTGATCATAACTAGCTTTTGCATGGTGCTAACGAGGGCACTTCTCTCCCTGCAATGTGTTGTGAAACTTTGGACTGTGTGCGTGTTTCAGAACTGCAGTAGCTTCACTGCCCGGGTTGCATTGCAATCTCCTAGTGGGTTGCATTTATGTAGCAAAGCATCTTGGTGCTTT